CCCATAGTGAAATTTCTTGGGCCACCCCTTCTTAAAACTTCTGTAAGGGTGCATCCAGACTCACGAAAAAGACCACAAAGTCCCAGATTTTACTTCTGTTTTTCCAATTTTATTTTAGAGATCCATACACATTTTGTTTATGCCATAATATTTTCTATCACTTTTCAGTGTGAGTAGATACAGGACTGTGTATACCAGCTTCTCAAACCAGCTTATTTTAACACAGTATAAAGTAAGAAAGAAGGGGGGAGGATCTGGGATTTTTTAAGAGAACCCACTATTTTCATGTTGATCTGTTAAACATGAGGTACATTTGAGTCTTTTGCTGAAGTGCCAAAAAGTTGGTCATTTTAGAGTGGCAGGCAGATGAACAGTTTCCACCTTTTCAGCTTGTATATCCATTGCTAGACATGAGAATGACTTGCATTCTCAGATTCTTCACTATTTCTCACTAAATGTTATCCTTAATGTTGCTCCGCATATCCCTGTCTCCCTCACTGTTGTTGTGGTGTGCCTTTGTGTCATTTCTGACTTATAGCAACCCTATCACGGGACTTTCTTGACAAGATTTCTTGGGGGGTGGGGTGACCATTTCCTTCCTCTGAGCAAGACAGTGTGACTTGCCCAAGGTCTTCCATTGAGTTTCCATGGCCAACGGTAGATTTTAATCCTGATCTTCAGAGTTGTATCCTCTATCCTTTTACCCTCAGTTGTGTGTTTGTTGTGTGCCTTCAAGTCAATATGACTTATGGCAACTCTAAGGCAAACCTATCATGGGGTTTTCTTGACAAGATTTGTTCCGAGGAAGTTTGTCATTGCCTTCCCGATGTTGAGAGAATGTGACTTGCCCAAGGTCACCCAGTGGGTTTCACAGCCGAGCTGGGAATCAAACCCTGGTCTCTGGAGTCATAGATCAGCATTCAAACCACTACACCATACCGGCTCTAGCCAAAGATTATCATTTCTTTTTAATTGAGAGAGAGAGCGAGAGCGAGCAAATGGTAAGTCATATATATATAAAAGGTAAAGGTATTCCCTGTTGACAAGGGGCCTTTACAGACTACCAGAAATAATGCAACCTGAGTCCACTTTAACTGTCCTGGCTCAGTGCTAGGGAATCATGGGAACTGTAGTTTTGTCTGAGACATTGAGCCTTCTCTGTCAGAGAACTCTTGTGCCACAATAAACTATAATTCCCATGATTCCCTAGCACTGAGCCAGGACAGTTAAAGTGGACTCAGGTTGCATTATTTCTGGCAGTCTGTAAAGGCCCAAGGTTGTTGTGTCTGACCATAGGGGACAGTGTTCATCTCTGTTACCAAGCCGAAGAGCCAGCATTGTCAGAGACTACTCTGTGATCATATGGCCAGCATGATTGCACAGAACACTGTTTACCATCCCACCAAAGTGGTACCTATTTATCTACTTGCATTTGCATGCTTTTGAACTGCTAGGTTGGCAGAGGCTGGGACTAGTGAGAGCTCACCCCATCATGCAGCACCTGGGCCTTGAACTGCCAACCTGCCGATCTTGCAATTAACAGAGTCAGTGTCTTAACCACTTGAGCCACTGCATCCCACACACACACACACACACATATATATATCAAATGGCAAGTCATGCACCAATTGCCCCTCCCAAGCCCTGCTTTATTCCCTCACCCTTTCTCATCCTCCACTATCTATCTCCCTTAACAATCAAATGACCCATTTTGCTTTTGTCTAACCTTTTCCAAAGAGCTATTTAGGAATCTGGTTAAGCTGCCCAATTAGCCAAGTCCTAATGTTTTGAATTTCTTTTCTAAGTACTGTAATCCCCATCCTTGATGCTGCAGGGTCTGTACCAGAGTGTCCAGTCTGGGTGTCCCCTTCTGTGTGCTCAAAAGGGAAGCAAGAAAGCAAAAGGGGTTTCCATGCTGCGCTGCTTCGCTTCCGATAAAAAGCAGCGGGAGGAAGGCGCGAACTGAACCCGGTTCTGGGTCTATCAAGGAAAGGGGACAGGGATGGGCAGGGGGTCTTCCATTTCCCCCTCAGTCCAGCAACAGGGAGTCAGCCTCCCTCTCCCCAATGTGGTGTAGTGGTTGAGCATTGGACACTGGAAACCAAAGAGCTTGATTCCCAGCTCAGCCATGAAACCCACTGAGTCACACTCTCTCAGCCTCAGGAGAAGGCAAGGGCAAACCCCCTCTGAAGAAAACTTACCAATGCAACTCTAAGGCCTTAGGGTCACCATAAGTTTAAAAAAAAAGGAGTTGGAGGCACACAACCACGTTTCTGTATGGTGTTGGAGTATGTATGTTCTGTATGACTCTGGAGACCAGGGTTCGATTTTCCCGCTCTGCCTTGGAAACCCACTGGGTGACCTTGGGCAAATCACACTCTCTCAGCCTCAGGGAATAGCAATGGAAAACCCCTCGGAAGAAACATGCCAAGAAAACCCCGTGAGAGTCGCCATAAGTCAGAAAGGACTTGAAGGCACACAACGACAACGACAACAACTAAAAAGGGGGCTCTGGGTTCGATAACACCCCTTGAGAGAAAAGTTGTCTCTTCCTAAGCCCAGCCTCAGGAGAGCCAGAGCGTTGGATTGGGACACCAGGGGACCAGGGTTCGAGTCCCGCCTCGGCCATGGAAACCCACTGGGTGACTCTGGACAAGTCACACACTCTCGGCCTCAGGGGAAGGCTATGGCAAACCTCCTCTGAACAAAACCTTGCCCCAGGATAAGTCGGAAGCGACTTGAAGACACACCACCACCACCACCACAACGTGTCCAGCTCAAGAGCGGAGCGGGGTGTGTGTAGGGCTGACCCTGGTTCTGGTTCTGGTTCTGAGGCGGTTTTGTCGCGATATATTACCATCCCGATACAAGCGAGAACAATGTCCTCGCAGTTGCTATGCTGGCTGGAGGGTGGGAAGGTGTAGTGCAAACAGTTTAACTTTGTCAGGCTCTGCCGTCCACAATATATGCAGAAATAATCCACTTTGGGACCACTTGCAACTGCCCCGGCTCACTGCCAGGGAATTCTGGGAACTGTAGTTTTGGGAGACGTTTAGCCTTCTCTGTCAGAGAGAGAGAGCTCTGGTGCCCGGGCCTTCCCCCTGAGGCTGAGAGAGTGTGACCTGCCCAAGGTCCCCTGTCCCGGCGGCTCCCTTACCTCCCTCCGGCCGTGGCTGGCGGTGCCGTTGCAGCTGCAGGAGGGACGGGGACGAGGCGGAGGCAGGGGCGAGGCCGGGTGGCCTCCGTTGGCGACCGGCCTCTCCCTTCCTCCCTCCTCGGCCGGGAAGAGCCCGCAGCGGCGCTGGAAGTGGGCCACGGGCCGGGAGTCCATGAGGCTGCGGAGCAGGCAGGCCCCCATCCTCCTCCCTTCTCCCAGCCGGAGAGAGAGAGAGAGAGAGAGAGACAGACAGACAGCAAGGGCGCAATGGGCCCACAAGGGAAAGGAAAGGAAAGGAAAGGAAAGGAAGGGAGAGCGCCACGCGCCCGCCGCGGTGCAAAGGGGCGGAGCTCCCGGGCGCCCCGAGGACAGGTGCGGATGGAGGAAGCCCCGCCCCTCCGCAGGTGGGCCTCGCCCCAGTCCCCTCCGCCATCGCCATCCCCTGGCCCTGGCCCTGGCC